GTGATCTCTAGAGATGCAGTACTCTTAAAACAAAACAGATAAAGTTCACTATATTTTTATATAACTCTGCTGTCTAGTCTAAGTCAAAGTCAATATATGCCAGTTCTGTGTCTGCTTTTCCTTTTCATTTGAACCTGGACTCCTGGGAATGGGATTACTCTGAAGCATCTGGATAACCTATAATCCCTGATAAAAGGCAGTAGGGGAAGAACTTCTTGTGCTTTCAGTACTTGAGGATCTTCATGTAAGAGGGAAAACAGAAAGATGTCATCTATGTCATTTCTTATTTACATAAATGGATGTTCCAGAAATTACTAGAACTGCCTGAACATGTTTTGCTATTCTTTGTGAGAAAGGGATGGAAAAGGAAGTTGGGAAAATGTAGATATTGCAAAATTTTGTCAATTTTTAATTGAAAAAAATGGATTATACCTAATTTATTACATGATTAATTTGCATTTGATTTGTTGGAATATTAATGCATTTTCTCTTTAATTACCGCTGTGTCCCAGGGGAGCTGCCATTCGCTTGGTTTGTGACAACTTTCTTTCTCTGGTCTGGACTTCGTGACTGAATTGCATCTACATCATCCCTGAGTGACCTGGGTATCTTTATCACAGTAAAATTCGAAGAAAGTAGTCTGACTGGGCTATTTTTATAGCTATTTTTATATCTCAGGTTTTTTAGCTGAGAAATCATAATTTCCTTAAAACAATCATAATTAAAAAATTTAGAACACACAATGAGGAAAGACCTTGGTGGCCACAGTGGAACACCAAACAGAATGGTTTGAATCAAAACTTCATCCCAAAGTGAAATGTTATTTATTATGCTAAAGCTCAAACAAGATGTTCAGACATTTCCAAACCCCTTCCTTATTTTTCATTTGCATTACTAAAAGGTTAATATCTTGCTTTTCAGGCTGATTTGAGGTGCTGAGAAGCATTTTAACATATTATGATATTACATACATAATATCATAATTTCTGGTGGGATGGAAATCCCAGTTTTTACCAGCTGCTAATGGTCTCTGGAGAGATTCAGGCTGATGAGGTTTGTGATGTCAAACAGCTGTAGATGAAAATACGAGAAACAGTTGACGGTAATTAAATAATACAAATGTAAAACTACGAATCTGAGACAAGCACATAATTGTAATGGTATTATTTTGTATGATTTTTATGTGATATTAAATACCATTAAGTTGTCACACTCTTAGCAAAATCAAAATAGGAACATACTAATCTGCAGATTTATATTTCAAACAGTTAAGAAATAAAACAACACAATATTTAGTTAGCATGAACAAACTTCTGAAGCTTTTCTTTTTTTTAATGTGAAATTGATTAACTGAAAAGAAGGTAATTTATTGAATTCACCCAGCAATTTAAGGTGAACGATTCACAGAAATGACACAATTGTAACCCCTTTTCTTTTGTATGAATTATCTCAGAGCAAGCTGTGGAATTTCGAAGTGTACTTGTAATTAAACATATTTGCTGAACAATTCTAAATCTGCAGTTTATTTGCAAAAGCTTTATATACAAATTCCATATTCAAAATTCAAGCTGCTTGGTTAGGTCAGTAGGCACATAATATGTTTCCATCTCAGAAGCCTGATTCTTCATATCAAAAATCTGATATGAATCATTCAGAATTTGCTTTTTGCAAATACTTTTCAATAATATGCTCAAAATTCATCAAACATTATTGTTAGTATCTCTATTCAGCCGAATAGTTACAGAAAGCAAACAATATCCAGCCCAAATTACTAAAATGTCTATTACCTTTCCAGTGAAAGGAAACCTGGTTGATAAATGGAATTTAACAGCATAAAAGAGCAAACTGTATTTACTTACTCACTCAGCTTTTAAAGGAAGAATGATATTAACATACCTGCAATATATGTAAATCCCTTACATATATATGAGTAGCTTATATTGCTACTCCTACATATTTTTTCTGACAAAATCCATTGTTCATCTAAATTTTAAGTATAAAATGAAAATGTATTTACTTGTGGAGACCGGATTTGTTAGAATTATCTGAATTATTTTGATCCTTAATTTGGAAGATAAATTTTTGAGCTGCTAAGCTACACACTAATATGGGAAGCTGCTTTCCTAAGCTTTTTTTTCAGTGCTACAGAAAATACTAACAGAACAATTAAACCATTGCTTCAGTGGGACTTGAAGTGCATACAGGTAATAAATATATGGAGCTTATTCTCTTATAGCTAAATTGTCTGAGTTTCTTTCCTTTTACTGACAGGCTTATAGAACTATAAAAGCCATGAAAACTCAATGCTAACGTAAAAGTGCAACCTCTGTTATTTTAATATTTTTGTACTGTGTATCAAGGCATTGTTTACGTTAGATAATGAAATGGAGATGGGGCAGAAAACACACCTCTGAAAGACTTTCTACACAAAAGGATGAACACGTAGTTCTTTGCACAAAGCATTAGAAAATACTGTGATATTTTATTATTAAAAATGCTGCTGAAAAGTTTATACATATGTGTCCAGCCATATATATCTTCTATCATTACTTAAGGCAAAAAACAAAAAATTGCAAAACAATAACAGAAGAAACCATTAAACCCTGCGTGCCTCTTAAGGTCAAGAATATAAGCCTGGGAAAGTACTTTTGTTTTTCTTTTACAGTTTGCAAAGTATATTTTGATATCATTATTATAGAATTCTATGAAGACCCTATAAATCTGTTCTCTCTATAAATCATACATCAGTCCAGATGTATCAAATTATTAAATCAACTTGATTGTAATTACTTTTAAAAGCTAAAATCATTCACTTACAGGAACTTTTTTTACCCAAATGTCACAAGCCTGACACATTACTGTACATATTGCTAGCAGAAGACAATTGGAAGTACTAAACAAATACTGTAATTCACATTACAAACATACCCAACTGATTATGATGCCAAGCATCATTACCTTTTTTTACTTTTTTCTTTTTTTTCTTTTTTTTTCTTTTTTTTTTTAACCTTTTTACAAAACTTATGAACTGCTGCATCTCAGCTGATGCATTACATAGGTGGTGGAAATGGCCTGGTATAGAGTCAGCATTAATCAACATTATCTGATGGATCGGTGAATAAAAAAAACAGTTTTCCATTTGCAACTAGTTGTACTTTGGGGTTGTCGCTTCAACACATTCCAACCTGGGCATACAGGTCAGGTTTATAGCACATTTATTACAGATAAAGGATTCTATCAGCCACATTTTCAATTTGTATCATGTCATTAGCTTTCTTTTTACTTCTTTCCTTCAGAATCTGTTTTACTGCCTGCTACAACAAGGAATTGTGCAGATGAATAGACCTCAGTTAATCACCTTGTCTTTGATTGCATTTGTAGGGGTGACTATTCCAAGACATTTTATTAGAAAACAAAAAACATAGAAAACAAGAAGAGGTACAAGGCATCTTGTGTTAGATACTTATGGGACATATGATATTGATGCAGCTTAGTTGTGAATTAATAATAGAAAATACATCTGGGATAATCATGTTCAAGTGCAGACCAATTTGTTCAAATATCTTTGGTTACTATCTCTTGATGATGGAGTAACTTTCAAAGACAAAATATAAAACAATCTTCATCTGCGAGAACTTATTTCTAGCTTTTTGCATTCAAATCTGTTGTTTGAATCAAACGGCTCAGTTCCTTTATTTGATAGCTCTGCTTGGCACCTGGTTTTGTAGTTAAGGTAACACAGAAGGGAATAATCAGCTCAGAATTTTGCCTTTCCTGAGAGTGATGCTCTCTGGGATTTTGGCTTTTATTAAGATGCAGAGCAGCTGATGATGTCTCTACTTCTCTCTCCATAATGTTCACTGACTATGGGACTGCTCCATAATAAATCAGCAAAAATACTATTCTCTGACAGGTATGCTCTGAAGCACCAAACAGGATACTGGGCAGAGAAGTTCTTTACACATTGATCATTTCTGAACATTTTGAAAAACAGCCGGTCAACCAACCCACCTTTTCCCCACTTTCAAATTGTGGGTTTATTTCATTTAGCAAAACTAAGAAGGTGCTTTGTCAACTGAGATTCCGCTGCAACGCTGGTGAATATGTTTCCTCAGAAAAGGCTGACCAAAACACAGGCTTTCTTTGCGTTTGTCAGGGCACAAAACTCTTCCTAATGTATCACAATAACCAAGAACTACAAACTGGACTCTGAATATATATTATTGGATGTTTCTTGGTTCAGTTCAACAAGCTTAAAATAGTAATTTTTTTCTTTTGAGGTTTTTTTTCTCCATTTTTCAATCCATTGCTGTGTTGCAATTTAACAAAGGCTAACACAAAATTAAATTAGACCAAAAAAAATATTTTCAGAAAAGAACAACAATCTCCTATGAATACTTTAACATGCACTAGTGTAACCTGTAAGAGAAAATATGCAGGTCACACAGACAACTGTATCCTCGGCATGACACCATGGCCTCATATAAATGAAACATGTTAGAAAAAACTCATGGTTTTTGTTTACCGCTAGTAATTAAGAAGAAATTCCTCCTTTGGGCTTGGAGGAAACAGAGGTGATATGACTAATGTATATACACATAGGTCACAACAGAATGCACAATCTTTCTAAAAGCTCTTTTCAAACTGAAAACATCAATAAAAGCTTTTTTTTGTTTGTTTTTAAACTCACAGCTATGTACATTTTTACAAAGTATCTTTAAATATAGTTCAGGCTGGCAAGTCATCTCTGCACAGAACTATACGTATTTTACTGCATAGTCAGTCCTCCTCTTTTTTTTTCATTTTTGTTTTTAATAATAAAATTCTATTTCCCCCATCTGGATTAGAGCTTCATATGCTGGGTAAAAGCCCATGGTGATGTCTTTGTTTTAGCAAGGGCCATTCATGGTATGGCACATAAAGATATTTTTTTTAATTATTATATTTATTAAAAAAAACAAAACAAAACAAAATCAAAACACCTGTACAGTCACTGGCTCTGTGTTCCAGAAGACTCTGCTTTGCTTGCTACACTCAAAACACCATTTTAAGTGACTTCTTCTGGCCTCAACTTTCAATCAAAGTGGCTGAGATCTTAAAGCAGTATCGTAACAGCAATGTACACTTTTCACATTTCACAGGGTTTGTAGTTGATCTTTAACATCAGAGAGTTTCTGTGGGAAGGATCAGTAAGAAAATAATGACTGTCCTTCTCTTTTACTTGTTTTTACTTTAGATTTTGACAAGGTGTTCAATGGATGACATTATAACATTTTCCTCTTTTTTTTTTTTTTTTTTTTTTTTTCCTTTCTCCCAAGTGGCTTGTGAGGGTAGAGGGGGAAGGGCTGAGCTATACCCTAGTGGTTGAATGTCCATGGGGTAAATTTGTACTGTTTTGTCCTCCACTGAAGGTGTTGAAAGTATGCAAAGGCTGCATTCCTGTTAATGTATTTGGAATCATGGTTATGGTGTTGGGTGTCATTAACGGGATGTCATCTGGGGACCTTCTCAAAGTAAGCGTGTAGTCAGGTGGACAGGTTAGTCTCAGTGTGTCATGGGCCTGCAGCGATTCACACTCGTGGTCATGTTCTAGCTGTTTCATCTGCAATGACATAATCTCTTCATTTTGTATGTGTGCGATATCGTTGGTTGTGTTCCTCTGGGGGCTAGGGCGCCTGTGAGTCTCGTGACGCCGCTTGTCCTTCTTGTAATATAATGCAGCAAAAGCTAAAATATTGAGGAACAGCAAGGACGCCCCCACAGCAATGGTGACGCTTAGCTCCGTGGAGTAATCTCGCTTGTTTTCTATCAGAACTGTTGTATCCTCTGGAGCTGTTTTATGGGTGTCTTTTGAATGTTTGGGATTGTTGGCAGGTGTCATTGCTGGGCGTTTGGTGGCTGGCCACAATTTACCAGGAGAACGTCGTGTCACATAAGGAAATGATGTCATGTCAGGAGGGGGGACTTTAGTTGTTGTGGAAACGTACTGAAATATTTCATTCAGGTTGTGAAGGTGTGGTACGAGTTCCAACCAGAAAGCAACTTTTGTCGCTCGGTAGTGATCACGAACTCGGGGTTTCAGGCCAATATGCAGATAAAGCTGGTCTTTAGGATTGTATTTGGACCAGGCCACTTCTTCAAAGCGATTGGGTTTTGTGTGGATGAACTTTGTGTCCTGTGGAACAGGCTGGTTTGGATCTCTACAAAAATAAAAACAGGCAATATTATGGTCATTAAAAAAAATTTAAAAAATAAAAGCAAACACCAAACCCCCCTCCATCCTTTAGTTAATGATTTATCCAATAACTAACATGACCTAAAACCAGAAACTAAAAAAAACCCTTAAACTTAATAACAGATGTTAACAAATAAACAAAAGAAAAATTACTTACTGTACAGTGCACCTCAGTAACTATAATAATTTTTACATCAAAATGGAGAAAAGGTTGTGTTTCAGCTCCCAAAAGCTCATCTGAAGTTCAGTATCATAGTCCAAAGCTGTCTTAGAGAGGCACTAACTACCTTTCCCCTTAGTAAAGGTGTAGGTGCAGTTCTTCTCAAGGTTTGACATTAACTTTCTCATTTAAGGTACCACTACTTCCATGGCTGTAAGGAGTAAATATGGGCATCTAATCCCTATGGAATGTTGGCAGTCAATGTGACTGTCAGAATTTATACTAGATGTGTATATTACATAAAAAACTTCAAAACATGAAGTAGCAGGACCAGTGCATGTAGCTGGGCACTATTTCTCTTTGTGTTCCTTTACTGAGCTTTTAGTCCCCCTTCATTCAGACATCTACTTTAGGGAAAAGCCTTTGAAGTATTTGTATATCACAAATCTTTCCATCATTTGCATGAGGAGATTACTATTTGAGAGTTCTGTGTGCTAATTGCTACTAAATAGCTACATTTACTGGCCGTAAGACAGTGAGCCTTAATTCTGTCCCAGTTTGTAGGGATGAGAAATGTATTAGCTGAGATCAATGAGTTTTATAGTAGTTAAGTAGTAGTAGAGCTAAGAGTAGTGTGCTACTCAGAGATAATTTCAAAACTGGTAACACAAATATTTAATTGAAATTATGCTTTTCCCATCTTTTCTTTTTTCTTCTTATAGGTTCAGAATAAAGGCAAACGAATGGCACGAAAAGCATTTAAATGTGGTTAATGTCTATGAATCCTTTTGGTAAACCTTACATAAAAATGACTTCCTCTTGGCATGAAAACATACGGAAATTTAAAATTACTAATACCAAATCTAATGCTCTCTTGTACATGAGTTTGAATCTTCTTTTGCAGCAAAGTATGTTTTCTGGGACTTTGTGATATATTATACTGAGAGCACATGATTCATTTTCTGTGCATTACTCTGAGAACTTTACATTCTCCTTTCCATTCCCATACGCATTAGTTTATTTCTGGTGAAAATGATTCTAATATTTTCCTTTTCTTCCAATATACTCTTATGTATGTTATGGGAATACCAATACCCACTGCTACAGATTTTAAAACTTTTTTTTTTTTTTTCCATTTTCAAAAGCTCATGAACATGACTGCCTAGTTTAGGATTCCTTTGCTGTCCGTAAAGAGCTATTCTTTAGTTCATAAACCAGGCTGGTAATTTGACTTTAATAATCTCATAATTCTTGCATTCATCTGTTTACCTAAAAGAATTTATCTCACCTTTTTTTTTTTTTTTAAGTGAAAGGAAGAATTATTTTTCTATATAATTTTGGTACTTTGGTTTACTTACCCTTGTGGGTTTAGGTGTTTGGGGGTTTTTTGGGTGGTTTGGTTGTTGTTTTTTTTCAATATTATAGTGTACCAAATCTTTCCCATCTCAATAAGATATAAACCAGGGGTTCCAGAACTATGGCTATTTCATCTGTCTATCTATCTATCTATCCATCCATTCATTCATCTATTTATTTATTATTCATTTTATGTAGTAATAGTTAGTCAAATTGTGTTAATTCTGAACAAAAAGATAACACACTGGAAGGTGTATAAATTAAGGTAGCTCATGTAAATGAGTGACACTTGATACACAGTACAGGAGGTGAAGAAGCTGAGTGCTCATTTCAAGGAGCCAAGCTGGACATATGCCTTTTTTTAATTTTTTTTTTTTTTTTAATGACCCTATAAAAATGACAGCAGGTGATGATTTTAGCAACTAAATATTTTTTTTAAATTAGCATTCCCTTCCCCTTACAAACAGGCTACAAAACAAGTAAATATTAACCTCCCTTTCCTTTCTCTCTCTTCTGTTCTCTACCTCTATCTCTCCTTTTTAACTATATCTATTATGAAAAGCCAATTATGCTGTTTCCTCCTCCAAATGGAAAAGAGAAAATTAAATTACATGAGGTTGGTCTTGTATTTCAGGATTTGTTCACACAGCTGTGTGTGGGCATGAAACTGTCCATTGAATCAAGGAACAGAAAAAAATACAGCCAGCCCTACAGATAAGTAATTTTTTTTTGCTGAGGGTATCAGAACTCTACCATTAGAATCAAGTCTCGGGTTGATCACTTAATAACTGAATAAATGGTCTGAACATTTTCTCTGAATTTGGAGGATAGGCATTTAAATTATTTCCTTTTTTCACAAGAAAATGGAATAACTAAGTCCAGGCACAGATAGCGGATCTAATAATGCATTCATCTTGGGTTTACAGACTAATGATAATTTACCAGAAATATTCAGTGGATATAAATAAAAGGATTTTTCCTTTCCTTGGCCCTCTTCCAATGTACACTGGAGACCATTAAATTGTAAGGTTACAAGGTAGCTCATGACATGTTAAGTCTTTTTCTCTGAAAGTTGGGCAGTTCATCCTATTATGAACACTTTTCCAGTATTACAGATATGCATGAAGTATAGATATACATATAATCATTTCTCCTATTGAATCGGATGTTTGACAAAACTTTTGATCTGTTACTTGAACTTTAAATTTCCTTTTCCTTTTTTTAGCCTCTCACATCACCTTTGTGTTTCTGGACATTGTTGAGGCTAAAGTGCCTAATTACAGAACAAAAGGCTGCTAGGAAACCTTCCTTTAAAAACCCGTTGCAATCTTGGTGATAAAAATATAAACTGAATAACATATTTTCAGTTCTGTACTTCTTCCAGTAATGCCTCTCGTGGGGACTAGATAACTTGTTTCCAAATCCTACTAGTTGTCAGGTATACTTTTTTTTTTATTATTTTTATTTCATCCTATTGCTAGAATAAAATTGTCATTCATTGTTGTTCATTTTGCTGTCCATTTGTTTATTTTCACTGTCTTTAGGATTTCATTTAAACAGCTTCTCCATCAAAAATGCCCCCATAATGAAATGACTGAACTTCTTATCCATATGATAGAAGACCGTATTATTATCTTTCTTTTCTTATCTAAGGTATTTTTTTATTAATATGCAAAATCATCTGATTTCAACTATCACTTTTTTTTTTCCCCACTTTCAGTCTGCACTGATTTTGCTCAATTTAACATGTTGGTGTTTACTGATATTTTCTCATGTGATAAAAGTAAATGTGTCTGCAACAGATGCTGCCTGAAGAGCAACACGCATTTCTGTTCACAAGGTGAATTAGTTACTGACCTGAAGAGCAAATGAGAGAACTGAGTATTTCATATGTGATGATGTCGGCACAGGAAGAACAATGGGGAGTCTAAGAATCATAGAATCGTTTGGGTTGGAAGAGACCTTTAAGATCATCAAGTTCAACCGTTACCTAGTACTGCCAAGTTACCACTAAACCAAGTCCCTCAGCATCATATCTACATGTCTTTTCAGTACCTCCAGAGATGGTGACTGAAACACTTCCCTGGGCAGCCTGTTCCAATGCTTGCCAACCCTTTCAGTGAAGAAATTTTTCTGAATATCCAAGCTAAACCTCCCCTGGTGCAACTTGAAGCCATTTCTTCTCCTCCTATCTCTTGTTACTTGGGAAAAGAGACCAAACCCCACCTCACCACAACCTCCTTTCGGGTGGTTGTAGAGAGCCATAGGATCTCCCCTACACCTCCTTTTCTCCAGACTAAACAACCCCAGTTCCCTCAGCTGTTCCTCATAAAACTTGTGCTCTAGACCCTGACCAGCTTTGTTGCCCTTCTCTGGACATGCTACAGTACCTCAATGTCCCTCGTGTAGTGAGGGGCCCGAAAGAGAACACAGTACTTGACATGCAGCATCACCAGTGCTGAGTACAGAGGTACAATCACTTCCCTAGTCCTGCTGGATACACTATTTCTGATACAGACCAGGATGTTATTGGCCTTCTTGGCCACCTGGGCACACTGCTGGCTCATGTTCAGCCATCCGTCCGCCAACATCCCCATGTCCTTTTCTGCCGGGCAGCTTTCCAGCCACTCTTCCCCCAAGCTTTAGTGCTGTATGAAGTTGTTGTGACTCAAGTGCAGGACCCAGCACTGGTCTTGTTGAACTTCGTACCTTTGGCCTTGGCCCATCGATCCAGCCTGTCCAGATCCCTCTTTAGACCCATCCTACGCTCAAGCAGGTCAACAGTCCCCCCACAACTTGGTGTTGTCTGCAAACTTACTGAGTGTGCATTTGATTCCTTCGTCCAGATTGTTGATAAAAATATTAAACAGAACCGTCCCCAGTACTGATCCCTGGGGAGCACCACTTATGACTGGCCACCGACTGGATTTAACTGCATTCACCACTAGTCTTTGGACCACGCCATCCAGCCAGTTTTTTACCCAGCAAAGAATACACCTGACCAAGCCATGAGCAGCCAGTTTCTCCAGGAGAAAGTTGTGGGAGATGGTATCAAAAGCTTTACTTTTTAAGAAGTTGTCTCTTACCCTGAATTCCATATAACATGTTGAAATACCATTCATCTTTTAACTACTTCTGCAACAGCATTAACTATCACTCAGGACAATGGAACTGTTACTTTAATGCACTTAAAGTTCTTTATTCATTTGTGTCATTCTCTAGCTTCGCTGGAGAGCAAAATGTCTTAACAATTACATACTGAGTCTGTTTCCAAGACACTGAAAGGCTGTTTGATTGTTTATTTTCTTTCAGCAGTCCTCTTTTCTCCATATGAAAAAAAGAAAAAAAAAAAAAAAAAGAGAAAAACTACATGGCATTTCTTCATGCTTCCACTGATTTTTCATGTTGTCACAATATTAATGATGGTACAGCCATTGGTACTGCCTGAAGCACTGGTACACAAACATATTTTCCCTTACCTCCTTTCCTCACTTATCACCAGGTTCCACTGTTGCCATGCTCCCAGTCAGCTATTATAACTACTAAGGAAAGCAAACCATAAGTTCCCTGTTTTGTTTGACTAACACAGCTTGACCATTGGAGACAGTTATTTCTTCAGACACAAACATCAAAAAAGAAATGCAACAGCCTCATGAGGGAGTTCACAGATAATTGATTTGAAAATACACTTTAGTCATTGTAAGTTTAATTGTGTCTTCCATTAGAAAGCCAAACTGAATAAAAAACATAGACCTCCTTTATAACTCAGTTAGGTTTTTGCTTCAGAATCAATGGTAGTAAAATAATTCGGGAGCATTTATCTGAATTATGAAGAAAACAAGGATACATCCTTTAGGCCTTTATCTTTCCCATCATCAGCCTAGGTAAAGCTGCATAAATGGGAGAAAAATAGAGTATTGTAACTCCTCAAAAGAGGATAATTTTTGGAAAACCAATAGACACCTCTAATGAGAGCATGGCTTTGTGTCTACTCTATGAAACTTCAAATCCTTCTCAAGAGTGTAGCTGGCAGAGTATCCCCTCATGTCATTCACTCTCCCCCTGCTGATGTATCTGCGAAGGATGTAACATGGCCTTAACTAACAGAACATTTGAGCATATAAAATTACCATTACAGTTAGGATAGTGCTACTGGCAGCAGACTGAATCTTTAAGTGCACCTCTTAATGAAGCTCTTGCATATAATTTTGCACATAGTGGAATCAAAAGCCATATTTTCATATCATTTTTTTATTTCAAATGTAGTTTCTCACATTTACTCTGTAACAAATTGCTTTCTTGTTTCGAAGGTATGTTACAAAGATAGCTTTGAAAAAGCCAAAATGACTGTTAACGCAAAAAAAAAACCCAAAACAGTTATAGCAAGGTAGAAAATGGAGGATTAGCAAAACGCAACTTCCAAGTATTAATTTCAAGCACGACTCATTTGCTATTAAATAGTCACTTTAATTGTCACCTCCTATTTGCTGGCTTCAGTAACTGACTTCAAAGTAAAACACAATAAAAGCACTGTGCCTTGTGCTGTGTCTTTGACACCTAGTGATTTTACAGGATTGACCTGCCCTCCAAACCCAGTCTTGGCAGCAGGCCCATTAAACAATGTGTGTTTTTTAGCAGCGGGTGGCATGTCAGTTAAAAGCCCAGAACAGTCCATCAGAATGATGCACCACCTGAGCTCTAATTACACAATAAGTACCTGGATGCAGCCTCTGTGGGAGAGTCATCAAGACTGAAGAGGTCTCAGAGACATTAAATTTAAATAAATAAATCTGCAATTTTAATGTTAAAGGGTCATCTACTGGGAAACATGGAATAATAAAATCTTGCAGTTAACAGATTTTTCATATGTGTTGCCATGGTTGCAAACACAAAGAAAGCCAAATTCTATCAGAATAAGGATGGGAAATGATCAATTAAAAAATGGGGGGGGGGGAACAAACCAAACCAAACCAAAGCCCCCAACAACACAGTCTTGAACCATATAATTTTTTTTCTTTTTTTCTGAGAGTTGGAGGACCTAAGTGGGCACATGGATTCCAGATTGGGTGTGGAAGGGTAGAGAGAAGAACAGTTACTACAGATATGTTCCCTGTTGCCCTAGGCTTGAGGTGCTACAACCTTCCCTTTGCCATTGGAGATACCAGAGGTGCAGAGCAAATGTAATCTTAAAATATTATTTTCCTCCAAGTATTATCTTGTACTATCCAGAAAAATTAAACATTGTTCATATAAACAAAGAAAAAAACCCAGCAAGGTAATGCATCTTGAGCTGTTCTTTTCCTTTCCTTGTGAAAACTGAAATTTTACAGCTAGAGGTCATTTTAAATGACACATCTTTCAGACTGTCTATAAAGGGGCAAGTTTGTAACAGAAGATATATCCCATTCCTGTCTCATCAGCAATGGCAAAGTTTCAGCAATGACTAATGGCTCTCCCAAGCCACCTGTTATGCCTTTAGGTGTAGTATGACAATGGGTTCATAACCAGAGAACTGGGTGATGGCATGTATAGCCTGCTGAAATTAGCTTTCAAGTAGCAACAGCTGGAAAGTGTTTGCAATTATGAGTAATGTTGGCAGCTGGGGCTGTGAGAAGCTCCTGTCAGCCTCAAAGATTACTTAAATATGACCACTGGGAACAGTTATAAAGTAATAGTAAATAATAGTGAGACTGTGGAGATCTTGCATCTCCATAATTCCAATGATATATATTTGTGAGGATCTGAAGTCCTCTATGTGTATGTGGCACTTCATCTGTTAAAATAAAGGCAGACTGATGGTATAATCATCTAGAAAGAATGTGTGGTACAGCCGGCGTGCAACATTCTCTGTCCATAAACCAAGCTTTCATCCTGAAGTTTGTCCATCCCAGTACTGATGACTTCTTGTTGACAAATCCATCTAAATATTCCACAGCTCATTCACTATTGTTGCAGTACTGTGGGATTTCTGCCTGCAAAATGCAGTGCCCATCTAAAATGCAGTGCAACAAAAGCTTTCTCTTTGCTTTGTAAATTGACCTGAAGCATTTGGGTTTTTTACCCAATTCATGCTCGAGGTTTTGTTAAAGCCACAAAATCTCTCTCCCTTGAACATTATTTGGATTCATTAAAGGCTGCAAAAGCTGCTGAAGCCTCTGACCGTTTCACACTAGGCATCTCTGAATTTTTCTTATATAGCTGCATACCATTCACTGCAGTGCAGTAAAGCTGCAGTTTCCAGAGCCCAATCCTGCCGTTAAACATTCATTGGAAAGATTTACAGCCCTTTTGTGCCACAAGTATCTTTGTTTTAATTCAGTACCGAAGACTCAAGGTTAACAAAAAAGCTCTTGCTGCACAAGTAAAACACTGCAATGCTCTTTAAAGGAATGCTATAGGAAGAGAAATTATTAATAGCACTCGCAAATTAAGCTGCTTTGAGGGTTCTTTCCTTGATGTTTACAACTCTATTTCAGAAAAAAACATTGATGTCTTTATTTTTTTTAATAAGCAGAATTTATTTAAATTTTTAACCTTCTCAAAGTAAAAATTATATCTGAGTCTCTTCTTTATTCCAGTCAAGTATTTATTATTGCCATTATAGCCCTTAGAGGGAAAAATCTTTCCGGTGCCTTCCTTTCTGTTCCAATTCCTCCCTGAGTCCCCATCCCTGTGAAGGTCACTAAAAACAAGAACTTCCTTTCTTTTGTAGCAGATAACTGCTGTCTGCCTGACAGTTTCTTCTTCAAGTAGCAGACATGTTGCCTCTGATTTTTCAGTATCGTAGTGAGCTGCCTTTTCTCCGAGACATGCTTTGTCTTAATAATTGCCCTATTTTTTGAATCAAAAATACAGTGCATTATTATTCTCACTGAGCTACTGAAAGAAAATAGTTTGAGGGAACACACTAATTAAAAATCTATTAAATATGAATAAGCCCCAGTTACCTTCTCTCTTACGTAAATAGTGCTATAATATTGCTGCAGATCAGGGTTTGAAGCCACTGCTATGGGATAGTATTTTAGAAGTATGTTATCAACAGAAAGGAATGCTGGAGGTCAAACTTACCCAGTTTTGGCAAAGTTAGTCCAGTACGTCATAACTACTGCACTGAGCATGACATCATTCTTGGAAAAGTTGCAGTTGAACAGTTCTGTGGGGCCAATCATAGGAATCCCAAACACGTAAGGAACTTCATCACCATGAGCTGAATCAGCCCAGCTAGGTTTCATCTCACTTTGGCAATGGTGATAAAATGCATAGAAATATGTTGGAGATCCATACTGAGCATGTAGGTCAGCAGTAGCAACAGCCGGCGCAACCCACTGGTGGTCTGTAAAAAGAGCAACCAGGGTCTTCCGTCTTGTTTCAGGGTTTTCTTTGTCTGCCCAGTCGGTGTACATGAATTTAATAGTTTCTCGCAGTGTATCTTTCCCTTCTGGATAACCATATAGATTATCCACAAAATTGGAGACAGAAAAGTCAAAATCATTGGGGGAAACACCATCTTCATTATCTACAATGCCGTCCACAAATTTTAAACCTTCCCCTTGATTTACGCCCAGCATTATATCATAGTTAAGGAATTCCCCTTGCTCCATGAGAATCTGAGGGTCATCTGGAATCACGTCTCCATCTATCACAGGCCCAAAGGCAATGTGGTACGTGGCTGGAGTGATGGTCTGTTGAATGAGTTCTTTGTAATTCTTATTCCGAAGACATTCAACCAAATCTGTGGTATCCAGCATGTCGCAGCCCACTTTATCTGCCAATATCCGAGTGTACTTGGCAGGCTGGTAGTTCACTGCCCAGCTGGACAGGGCTGTTCCACTCTGTATGATTGCCTTTTGGAACAAACCTGCAGGTGCAAATTGTTTAAATGCAAATCTAAATATATATTAAAAAAAAAAAAATGAAAGCAGCTTTCACTAAGCAAAGAAAGCTTTGATTGTGCAATAACTAAAGGATGCCTATACCTAAATTTCAATACAATTTCCACACATTCTACTCACTGCTCTTTTTTTTATAGTATCTCTAATAGGCTACTAATTAAAATCTCTCTTGTTCTTGATGCTCACAGACCTAAAGCATGAAGGTTTCAGGTTACTGTTTCAAGAGCAAAACTCATGCTTGTACTGCAGTTTTCTTGCATCTTTAATGGAAGTCCCTGGCTTTAGCACAGTGGTAGTCCTGTAAAAATGTCTTTAAAGGAGTGGCAGCTACAAGCAATCATATCCTCTTCACCATGTAAATGACTATCATAAATGCGCTTTTCAGTAGTTTAAAGGTCAAATGAAAATTACACACTCTCATTTCCTTCACAGAAGCCGTGCATCATAATTTGAAAAAATCTGCTCTGCTAAAATCAATTTAATAAGTTTGAGTATTCTACTCTGACAAATTTTTCTTTTCCATCTTAACTTTTTTTGTGTGTGTCTGTTAGTACTGCCTATATGTTGAATTAAAATATGTTTACATTGGAAGAGAGTTAGACAAGATTCAATAGGGTTTTTTGGTTGTTTTATATGTATTAATATAAAGAGAGATGAAAGACTTAGTCTGAAGAGCTTCTTTGTGTCACCAGAGTGCTGAAAAGCAACTGGAGCCTACTGGTGAATCTGGCCCATCTGTTTTTTCCAGGTAAGATCATTAAAATGGCCTATTTTATACTTAAACTAAAATGCCCGGGCCTCCTCTGCACATGGTTTCTACTGTCAAGCTCTTGAAATGTCAAACACAGCAACAACTACAAAAACATTTAAAGACCATGAATCATTTATGAGAAAAACTGGCTGCGGTCGATATACCTTTGTGATGATTACTCACTGCACACGCTACAAAATTTCAATTATATGATTAGTTAAGTTTTTCATGGTTCCATCTGCTTGATTTTGTCATGGCTTACTCAACAGGTATTCACTGCACCCTATTTGTATCAATAGACTAAATTGTCAGGCATAATTCTATGTATTTCCAAATAGGGTGTGTTTACCAGCAGCCCTGCTACAATTGCTTGCTAGAGCTTAGTCTTCTGCCATAGATTTCTGTTTGTTTTATTGGGACAGAAGTAACATGGACCTGTAAGTACAATAGATAATTTGGTCTTGTCTTCTTTTATAAATTCTTTGTAGATTTTTGTCTTATCACCCAGAATATTTATGGCTCAGTACTGTTGCTGTACATTCTTGGGTTTTTTTTGGGGGGTGGGGTGAGGTGTTGAGGATAGAAATCCCACAGCTCAAACACTTACCAAAATCTTAAGAACTTTGTGTGGGATCACACAGTACTTCTGGGAGTTAAACACGCTTTTTAATAAGGTTAAGTTATGTTATTATTAAGGAAAGCATCTAAAAACATGTTGGAAGTGGAGACTAGAGTGTGTGAAAAATGAAAAAGGTCACTGCCCTTTTCCACTTTAATTAGGGCACATTCTTTCATAGAAGAGCCAGTGGAGACTTCTGATAAAGCTAGAAAAATACAATGCCCATGGCATTTGTTGCATGAAATTTCTGCTGTAATAGCATTTCATTTTTCATATAAAAATAATTATGTTGAGTAACATAAATACAGAATACTAACTGGTAGGTATTTTTAAAAGATTACAGATCTCATGTAATTCTAGTTCAGCCTACCTGATACAGCCATTTTTGTTACACTATAATGTTTTTTTTTTAAAAAAAGTACTTTACTTAAAGGATTATTACCTTCTGAATAGTGAGAGAGTGTCAGGAGACTGACACAGGAAGCTCCTGCCCCAGATCCAAAAATAGTAACTCTTTTTGGGTCTCCTCCGAAAGATCCAATATTTTCTTCAATCCAACGTAAAGCTTGGATTTGGTCAAGCAATCCATAATTGCCTTTTGCAGCTTGGTCCCCAGTACTTAAAAAACCTATAAGGCAAAAAAAGATAATTTTAGTTCAACAGATACAGAGTTAGCTACAGGGTATCCACATATTCACAACACATCTTCCCATCTTTTCATCTTCTGGGCTTTTTTTTTTTTTTTAAAGGTCACGGTCCTAGTTAAATGTCTCCAGTGAAGGCAATGGAAATCATTTTATACGCTGTTTGGTTTTGCTTTGTTTTTCCCTACTGCAGAGGTCACATTTGTGAAAAATCATTCTTTCCTTTTTCAAATAGTTCTATATCAATGCAACAATACAGACTGAAGATTTTAAACATTTGATAACTGTGTGTGAGTAAGGCACAAAAACCTAGGAAATCATTTTTGTGCAAAGAAGAAGTGAGATACCCAGTATTTCAACAAGGCTCTCTAAATCTTTAATTTTAATGCTCCTTACCATGGACCAAAATTGTCCTGATCTATATAGCTCTTTAAATTATTGTACTTGTGATATAAATAGACATACTCGGAAACAGAAAAGGAAGAAAACAGTAAAAGGAACAGGAAAAAGGCCCAGGAAAAAATCACACTCCAATTTCACAGAGGATATTTATTAGGAAGATAGCAGGTAAATCCTTGGCAACTCAGCCTTTGTTTGGGAGATTTTATCTGAACAAATCAGGTTTTGTCCCTTTCCTTGGAAATTGCATGGAAAGCTGACCTGCTATTTTTCGTTCCTGTACCGTGGTTATCAGATTTTAGAAACAAAGCATGACACATTTAATGCGTGTCTTGCAACTGAGAACAAAATGACCCAAACACTAGGCCTGACATTAATTTTGTTTTTCTGAAGCCAGCTAAGGTGAAACATTGCCGTTATCCGTGCTGCCTATCATTCACAGTTAAGACCTTGTGCTACGTCCAAATTACCACATCGAGCCATGTACTCACGCTCCTCTTTTTAACTCCCACAGACCTTTTTCTGTCAGACAACTGCAAGTCAGAAGTCTATTAGAAACACCTTACAGCATATAGAAGTTTTCAGATGGACATTACTGATTTAGGCATCGCCGACAGCTGCTTATCAAGACAAAACAAGAAAGTCACTTGGCTGGTGTTTCAAAGCTAATTATCAGTTCAGACAAATTTGCCAGAAGAGGGCCCCAGGACTCAGGAGATCTGTACTCCTGGAGCGGTTTGAGATGAGGCAGTCTGTAATCCTGAGCCACCTTAGCCGGCTGTGACAAGACCTTCATGCTCCTTGGAAGGACTGCAAGGGAAGCCTGAGGTCCCTAGGGAAAAAAAGGCCTTGCAGTACATTTCACCTGCTTTGGCAAAGGGGAACGGATCTCTTTGCACTGGCTGTAGTTATTTTTTCAGTGATAGGAAAAATGAAGATTCACAAGGTGGAAGGGATTCACAATATGGAGGAAGCGGAAGAGAAGGTGAGAGAAGAAGCAATTAGATGTGTTGGACATTTACACCTGTATTTCCACAACGACTTCTATGGTAAAACTCCTACACTACGACGCAAAATCTAGCCTCAAGTCTTAAAAGCAAGATCACATAAGAACTACACTCTAAATACAGAATGCTATATGGCCTGTGTTATGGTGACATAAGTTTCTCCATGCAAGGTTAGGCATGATTGAATGGAATGTATCACCTTGCCCCCAAAATAATATTTTTCATATTTAATTAGAAATTATTAACTGGTATTTAATGTCAGCAAGTGTCTGATGAGTCCCTGTATATTTCACAAAACAGTTGCTTTGACTGAAGTAACACAAATCATATCCTTACTGCTAAATAACATTTGATACGGCTTTCTTGTAAAAAAGTCTCTAAGAATGGCAAGCATAGTAGTTACAATAGCAGTGACATCTTTTTTTTTTTTTTTTCTCTCCTATACTAATGGGAAAAAAACAAACAAACTGTTAATCCATAATTGCCTTATTTTTTTTAACAGATGTGTTTTTCTCTTTTTCGTATGCCTTTATTATCTTTTTAGGACTGTCAAAGAAAGAATAACCCACTTGCTGGCTTTGTTGCTGCAGCTCACTGCAATGTTCTATAATATTCTATAATTAAGCCTTTATTCAATCAGAACTATGACCTCCCTGGGAGAAACTGACTGTAGTAACCTTTAAAGCAGCATGGTAATTAATATTCAGAGCCTAAACACATTTTAGCTCTTCTAGCAGCATCAAGCTAAAGCTGGTTGATCTTTGTGATTTTGAATTCTTTCCAAATGTACTAAAAGGTGACTGAGTAAAACTGCAGTCAGTGAACATCTGATGTTTGACAAATGAAGATTTTTTGTTTCCACAGTTCTCTGCTGATTCTTATTAATTGCAAGAACAAATTTTCTTAAGTTAAAAACTAATCATCATGGCAAAGTGTCAGCCCCACATGACACAAACTGAATTCATAAATCTGTCTTTTCTTGGTGAGGATATATTTTCTTTCATGCTCTGAATACCAGATCAAAATGTTTGTTCAAAGCCGTTTCAAGAAATTCAGGAAAGGAGTAACTATTTGTCCAGAAATACACAACACTACAAGATCTTATTTTTTTTTCTGTGATGACTGTGAAGATTTCAAAACAGTATCTTCATGTGTCATTCTCAAATCATGAACAAACAGGAATACAGATTTTTTTTTATTTTTTTTTTCTCTGAAATGGGGATTTATAATCTGTAACTTTTACGTGTAAGTTTTTGAGTGCAGTTAAGAATATTTCCCATTTTATGGTTTGGCATGATTTGAAGGGTATTCTGTGACCTGAAAATCCTTAGGTTGGGGTTTGATAGAACCTGGAAGTTCTTCTTACTAGCCTAATGCAACAGAGTAAGAAATGGCAATAGTTGAGTATGGAAAACAAAGAAGTTTGAGGGGTTTGGGTTTGGTTTTTTTGGGGGGTTTTTTTGCACATAATGACACAAAGGAATTAACAGTAATGTTCAGTTCTTCGCTTGTCTTAAATAATTATTTGGTCACATGGCTCCCCCACTGCAAAATGGCATGGACAGCAATGGCTGAAAAAGGAGAATGTGAGCGCATCCCATCTCCGTGGAGTGAAATACCCCAAATTGTCTTAGGGGACATTTGCTCCAAAGTTACTGTGCTAGAGGGAAAGATGGCCACCAGCCAGACTGAATAGTAACCAGGGAATGAGCATCTTCTGAAGCAAAGGTCAGCCTGAAAAGAAGGGCAAAAGGAGCATGGCAATTTGTAAAAGTACAGAGAGGGAGGTGGGAAGAGGGCAGCAGCTGGACATTACAAGAAGTGGCCACTAACATCGCAAACTCCCTCCAGCCTGGACAGAGCAACCTCCTGTGGGGTGCTTGCACTCAGCCAGGGACTGTCCATGTGGGCATTTTTACCTGTCTTCTCAAAAGCTAAAGAAATCCCCAGACAAAGCAATGTCCTAAACGAGAGTTACAGCTGAAAATAAATGATTGATTTAAAATTGTATCAGTACAATATTGTGGTTATTTGGAAGTAAAAAATAGTTCAAGTGGAGAGATTTCGATTTACGGCAAGGCGTAGCAGCTTAGCTATTCTAAAATCACAGCTGTGATGCTCTAAATTTACTCAGCTGAAGCCCCGGCAGCAACCACTGCCTGCCTGCCTTTCAGATTCACACAGGGACCCCTCTTGGTGTGTGTGAAGGCTTGTGGGGTGGTTTTTTCCCTTGTGTGGATTGGTGGCTGTTTTGGAGTGGCAGGAGCTCACCTGATGCTGGAGCAGCCATATGTGCCACATGCAGAATGGGGGAACTTCCACTCCCCCTCCAATGGGACTACTGGTGACACACACAGCCTGGGAGTGGCTCTGTGCACATCTAGCTCCATGCTCTGTGTGTGATTAGAATTTTTGGGGATTAGTTACAGAAGGGTGTTTAGAAATTTGCAACTGTTTCCTAACCTTTCTTAAGTGTCTAGTATTGTAGTTTATCTTTTGCACTGCTGATATCGATGCTGAAAGTATAGTTCACTGATTGCTGGTTAGTTATATGTCACTAATAACTTAATAAACTGCTTTGATACTGAGGTGATTTACACCACATGAATTGAGCATCTTTTCCATGACAGGTTACTCTAAAAATAAATAAAAATGCATAATTTTATAAGAGGCAACATAAAGCATTTTTTATTTGTTTTGCTGTATTACTTGTAATTTATCTTTTTTTTTTTTCTACTTTCTTTCATGTAGAGGGAAGTAAAGCTTCTTTAAATTGAGGTTTCTGAAGTAACAGTTTTACTTATTTTTCTCCGATTCTATTAAGAGAAGCATTCTAGATGAATGCTTTAGTTTTAACCTACTAGATTAGCTACAGTCAAAGAGGAAGAAGACTACAAATGGAAATTACTGGGAATCTTCCTTTTCCACATCCTTTAAAAATGAATGGACTCATAAGCTACATGGTCACTTGCACTGTTTTGATAACGCAGTGAAGACACAAAGTCACACACAGAGCTCCTTTAGATCCCACTTAGACAAGAGGAAATCCCTAGGTCTATCTTTATAGTTGGTTTTCCCACTATGCTACAGAAATCTTAAAAAGACACCAAAGAAATCCCCAACAAACCAGTGGTGGTATTTCCCCTTTACTACTAAAAAGTTGTCTGGGGACCCACAGTGACAAATAGCAGGGGCCAATACCTATAAAATCCACCCAGACAGTTTACTTCTGTCTAGCTCCAGCCTTGTCTCGTGGCTGGAGGCCATCCCTATGTTAGCATGCCATGCAGACCTGCAAGAGGAAGTCTAGAACAGAAAACATGGACCTCACATGCACACTGTACACATTTCACATACTGTTTTTTACTACAGCCTAACTGTTGTCCAGTCTCGTGGGCTGAATAAATGACCACTGGTGAACATCATACATAAGGGGGAGCACACCTTCCAGCTGAGGTTCACCTGGAAGGGTTCAGGCTGTGAAACAATGTGCAAGGAAGTGGTGACAATACTGAGGTTTTCTGTGAGAATGAACTCATGATGTGAATTAAAATGCTAGTGTGAACATGCTCGGGATC